TTTTCCCTACTGTTCTTTGATCAATATATATATATATATTTTTTTTAGAGACAGAGTCTCACTTTTTCACCCTGGGTAGAGTGCCATGGTGTCACAGGTCACAGCAACCTCATACTCTTGGGTTCAAGTAATCCTCTTGCCTCAGCCTCCCGAGTAGCTGGGACTACAGGCACCTGCCACAATGCCCCACTATTTTTAGACAGGGTCTCGCTCTAGCTCAGACTGGCCTTGAACTCAGGGAATCCACCTGCCTTGGCCTCCCAGAGTGCTAGAATTACAGGCATGAGCCATCATGCCCAGCCTGAAGCTGATTTGTTAATATGTCTTGTTAGAGACTTTCACCTGCTCATGAAAACTACTGGTCTGTAGTTTTTTCCTTATACCATCATTGGTCAGTTTTAGCTTGAGATAAACACTGGCCTCACCAAATAATTTGGGCACTCTTCCCACCTCTTCTATTTTCTAGGAGACTTTACATAGAATTGGTATAATTTCTTATGTATTTCTTGCAATTCACTGGGGGAACTATCTGGATTGGAATTTTTATGTGAAGCTGTTCTGTACCCATTAATTAAATGTATATGTACATAAATTTATATGTGTGTATAAATTAGCTATGGACATAGTGGATTCTAAGGCACAGACTATTGTTAGGAGTTATGTAAATTTCATATAAATATATACATTTAATATATATTGCACTCTGTGTGTTTTCTGCTTTTCCATCCGTGAGCTTGGGTGGTGTGTGTCCTTCAGAGAACACGCCTCTTGCATCTGTGTTCTGGATCTATTAGCATACAGAGGTTCACATTATTACCATTTTGTCTTATTTAGTGACTACAGGAACTTATGTGTTTAATTTGATAACATGGGTTTTTTTCTCTCTTTTGATAATCAGTCTAACTCGAGGCTTATCTGATTTATTACTTTTTTAGACAGCCATTTTTTGGCATCGTTGGAGGCTTTTTGCTCTGCTGTTTCCTGTTTGACTTCTCCTAATTTTATTCTTTTCTTCTTCTGTCCACTTTGGGTTCAGTAGGAAATTGTCTTTTTTTTTCTTTCTAGCTTCTTGTAGCTCCAATCACTAATGTTGAACATTTCTGCTTTTGTAACATAAGCATAAATTTAGAGCTATGACTATCCCTCCAAGGATTGCTTTAATTCCATTCCACAAATTGTGACATGTTACACTTTCATTATCTTTGAAAATAAAGAGATTTTAACTTTCCTTGTGATGTCTCTTTCGAGCCTTGGGTCACTTAAAATGTCAATACTTAATTTCTGAGTTTATGGAGATTTTCCAGGTATCTTTGTTACCATTACTTAATTATGTTATGGTCACAAAGTAACCAGAGTTTGATGGCATTAATACTTTGAAGTTTATTGGGACCTGTCTTATTTTGTAGCTTATAATCTATCTTTTAACATTAGATATTCTGTGTGGGTGCAAAGCGCATGTAGAGTCTAGTCTTGTTGAGTGGGGGGTCTACAGGTATCATTTAGGCCACACCAGCTGATAGCACTATTCTCTGCTCTCTGCTGGTTTTCTCACTGTGTGTTCTAGCAGTGACTCAGAGAGGAGTGTTGAAATCTCTGTGATTGTGCATGTCCCACCCCATCAGTTTTGTCAGCTTTGAATCATGTTGTGTGACACCCTAAGTGCACAGACGCCAAGGACGTCACTCTCTCCGATGACCTGACTGCTGTCATGGCCTCCTTAATCCCCAGCAATATTCTGTGTTTTGGAGTCTCCTGTGTCTATTGCTAGTATCACTGTTCCATCTTGCTCTGCATGGTATAGCTTTTCTTAATCATTTGATTTTAATATATCCACATCTTTGCATCTCAAGTTGGTTTCTTGTAGGCAACAAAAAGATAAGTTTGGGTTTTTAATCCAATCTGAATATCTTTGCACTTTACTCAAAGTGATCTGTCCACTGATATGTAATGTTCATTGCTAATGTATTTGGGTTTAAATCTGTCGTATTTCTAATTTGCTTCCTGTTCTTTATATTTTTGTTCCTCTTTCCTTGATTTGTTAATGAATTGGCCTTTTTTAGTATCTTATCTCTCCCTTGTTGACTTTTTAGCTATGCTCTTCATGTTATTTGTACTGACTGACTAGAGATTAAAATACACAAGTTTAGCTTGTGACAGGTGACTGCCTCAGGAACAAAGGAAGAAATTTACAACAGAATAATTATATTTACCCCATCTCAAGCTTTTGTGTGTGCTCTAAATTTACAATAAACTTTCTGGAGCCCTGAGATGTAGCCCTGAGGTGTTTGACACGGTCACATCTCTCTTCTCACTCCGGAGGGTAATATAACACAGTTACACTTTTCCTTCTTCTCCAAAATAGATCCAGAAGTGGAAAGACAAATCTAAAAATTGCTAAGCTGCTTGATAGCACCAAATCGTGGCCCTGGATTTAGGAAGCACACGGCAGGACCTGGCTCCCTCTCCCACAGGGGGAGAGTCTGTGCCCCCCGCACATCTGTCCTGGCGCTCGTTTTCCACTCGCCCTGACACTTCTGCTTATGAACACTCGTAGGTGATTACTCTTGAGAGAGTCCATCTAATTTTTCCACTAAATAGGAACTAATGCTGCCTCCAAGCGCCTCTGCTCCTTGAGTCATGAGTGCTCCTCACACTCCTTTTCAATGCCTGGGGCCCTGGCAACAGGGAAGATGCTGTTGATTTTAAGGACATGGCCCATGACACAGAGGGAGGTTAAACAGAATTTGACAAAGGCAAGACAAGAAAGAAGGATCCAGAAAATTTGGCAGCTGTTTCCAGGATAAACTTCCAAGCTGGCAGAAGAGGAGAATGTGGGGCCTCCTGGAATAGCCTCTGCTCAGAGGGGAAGGCAATGCAGGCTGGGAGCTGGGCACATGTCCACGGCCTTAGGCTGACTCTGAACTTCGTATCTCAGAATGAAACACATCAGGGAAACTAAGTCACGTTGCCAGTAACACCACAGTGTAACTGAGGACCAAGTAGCCAGGCAGCCTCTGCACATGCAGCCCATTGACTGGGCAGGCAGCACACTGACACCGTGATTCGGGTCAGACGCTCTTTCGTGACTCCTGAGGCCTCACACGGAATTGTCTCGTGTCCACCTGTGGTTTTTAGGGAGGATCATCAGTCATTTATCACACCTAGAGGTAATTCCCACCCCATTAACTCAGGACATTTTAATTTCTAAACAAGATGATAGGAAATCTCACAATTCCTAAAAGTTACTGCAGTAAATGCATTTCCCTCAGCCCTGGGACAGTGTGGTACTTTTCCTAAATTGCTGTAATATCCAAACGTATGTTTCTCAATTTTGCTAAGGTGAGCTCTGAAGTAGTTTAGTGTGTTTCTGTGGCTTTATTTAAAAACGGTCGTTTCATTTGAGAGCCTCCAGAGCAAAGCGGCTGAGCGTCCCCCTCTGTGACATCACCGGTCCGCTTAGTGAAATCAGAGCTCAAGCCCACGATTCCAATCTCTCACAGCTAACTGGCTTGAGCCATGAGGCTTCAGGAGAAGAGATCCTTTCCTGGGCTTATTCTTGCTCAGTAGAACAAAGAGAGAGCAGGCATTTTATGTTTGAGTTATTTATTGTTCTCTTTGTGTGAACGTCCCATTGTTACCCATCCCTACAGAAAGAACAGCTGTGAACAGCCTCCGGAATGAATGTCAGCGTGAAACTTAGCTAGAGAGAAAATAGGCTCTGTCTCCAAAATAGGAGCAAGTTTCAGGCTGGGGTTGGCTCCTTGCAGCCAAGGGCACACACAACCCCTTAGCGACTTGGAGAGAAATCACACTGAGGTGGGCGTACACAGTGCCAGATGACGGCACCACACAGGCACTCGTCCTAGTGGTGACAGTCCTGGCCAAGCAGTGTGGTGTGAATTCAGTAGCCCACTAGGCCACCTGCCCTCGGGCATGGGTGGCTTCAGAGGAGAGGGGAGGTGTCCCACAGGGCAAAGTGACTACACCCACGGCCAACAAGCCTCGGGTCCACTTAGACAATGGCACACTCGGCAAGGCCTCTGTCACGCCTCCACCGTGCTGGATGAGGAGTGCGAACAGGTCCTTACGTAACTTTCTGATGACCCTGGTCGTGATTCATAACAAAGCATAACTAATTGTGCAGAACTGAAGGGCTGAAACCTGGGAGCCGACAGGCTGGGTGCCATGAACCGTCCTATCCAGTGCAGCAGGGTCTATGTGTGGAAAAAAGTCCTAAATTCTGTGGTTTAATTTAGCCCATAGAAGTCTCTAGAAGAAGGAATTTTACTTATTCCTTAACTATTTTAAAAATAGGCAGCAGAGACCATGGGAAATGGTCAGGAGCAGCCCTTCCTAGTTTGGTGTATTTCTGAAACTGTGCCCAGGACGAGCGCCCAGCCCCACCTTTGCTCAGGGCTGTGGGCAGAGGGCAGCCCGGGCTCTCTGTCCACAGAGCCACTGTGTGGCCAGTCCTGAGAAGCCCTGTGCTGACTGTCTGCCCACACCACCTCGCCGCCACGCCAAATGCCCAACAAGTGACCAGGTTTTAGTGCCAATACATCCTTTCTTTTGCATTTCAAGTTCACAAAACAAATTCTTCACAAATGGGGAAAACAAGTCCTGGGTTTATTTGCATGATTCCCTTCTGACTTTGAAATTTTTTGCTTACTTTAGTTGCTGTCTATGAAATGACACTGACACAACAGGCTCTGCCCAGTGTCCTATGAACACACGCAGGGCCACACCTGGGCGAGTGCTCCAAGTTCTGAGGGACAAGGGGAGGGGCCGAGATAAAAGGGAAGAAGGAGTAGTAGAGGCTAAAACAGGGTGAGGACAGGGATTCGATAAAATGTCAGACAGTCATCAGAAGACTTACCTAGAACAAAGTGTCTGAGACCAAACTGACCTGTCCACCACTCCCCCCACCGCCCCCAGGCAGCCTTGGTGCTGAGAACACTCCCAGACTCCGTGTCAGCTGCATCTCTGTTCTTCCCTTGCAGACAGAGTGAGCATACTGTCCACCTTCCTGGCCCCCTTCAAGTACCTGAGTCCCGGCACCACAAACACGGAGGATGAAGACACGCTAAGTAAGCAGCCTCCTTCCCCAAAGGACAGCAAGTCCCATGTCTGGAGGGGTGTCCCCTACTGTCCTACAAACAGAGGCCACTGGGGATTGAGCAGGAGCTAACCGGGCATGTCTGGAGCAAGAAGATCTGCTCCAATCCCCACCCAAGGACCCATCCCCACTGGAGTTCCATC